GGTGTCTGTGCCCAAAAGCTTGCAAATAAAGATATAAAGCTTTGCAGATATCTAGTTGGTCTCATAAAAATATCACCTCTACCACAAATTCTGATTCCTCCAGACTACATGCAAGGCCACTGAAGCTTATAACAAGAGCCAAAAGCTGCCCAAGGACTCCTAAAATGTGGCTTCTCTGCAGAGGGGATGGAGCTGATGAACTGGATGTGTTTATTGCTTATGAGCATTTATTCTGCACAACAAGAAAGCTGCATTTTAGCGTGGGTGTACATCTATGTAAAAGTATACCGAAATAAAGTGTAGCTTTAGGACTCCTGGTCAGCTGCCAATACATTTCCCAGTGTTGCACAGTTTGGATATCGAAGGGGAACTGGACTTCTCGGTATGGCGCTGTCCTTGGATATTCCCAATAAGTGAGCCCGCAGCCCGGCACTCTCACATTTTCTCTCTAGGGTTAGTTCTCTGCTTTGCAGCTACCTGGTAAGTTTTTTCAGGCTCTACTATACCCCTCTAACCTCAGCTGTTCTTTTGCCGCAAGGACGCGTACAGACCTCCCCACTGCCGTATGCTATTTTAGCAAGTTGCATGGTCCTACTCTGTGACCAGCGGGAGAATTCCCAGTCACCTCTCACTTAGGTTTATGCTGCTCTTATATTATCACAGTATTATAAATATAAGGTTCCCTCTTCTAACATATGCTTGCAGGAGGAGCAGTGTTCGGGCTGTCAATTGGCAGTTACAGGGGAGTAGGAGCACAATGATGGGAATTGAGAGAGGTCGGTTTGCTAAATTCCTGCTCTCAGCTGAACATTTTGCATGAGAAATCCCTGCTGAAGCTGAGACAAGAGCCCATACATATCACAGAAATAACGTTTTTCACTTGAGCTGTCTGTTTCTTTACGGAAGCAAAATCTAAAAGCTTTGTGGAGTCTACTGGGGACAAATGACCTAACCAAGGTCAGTTAGCAAACATTATCCACAGAAAAGGTTTCCTTCACCAAATCAACTGCGGCTTCACTTCCGGATTAAAGGCATCAGATTAGCAGCTCCCTGAATTAAAGCAGACCAACCAAATGCTAAACGTCCCTCATGATATTAACTTCTGAGCCTAAATATGAGTTCTAGAGAGAATTCACCCTTTATAACTGCTTGGAACCTAAGGCTGCGTCCAGACAAATGTGGACGTGCATTTCCCCAGGGACAAGCAGCAGCAGCACGCTTTGTACTGCTGCTACGTCTCCCATGGGAATGCCCGTGCCACGCACTCTGGCACGCAGCACCTTGCCCAAGGTGGAGTAGGGAAGGCTGAGGCCAGCAACTGTGCTGGCCCCAGCAGCCTTCCCTGGGGCCCTGGAAGCATCAAGGAGCTGCAGCCACAGCACTCTTGCAGCTGGGAGCCTGGCTTTGGGTTGTGTGCACTGCTGCCGCATGCACCACCCTGCTTTTTTCTCACATGGGATTTTTTTAACGTTGGGATCAAGAAAATCCCCCATGCTGCAAGGTAGCAGCGTGGAAAATACCTGCATGTGCAATGTGTGGCACCACCCCATACTACACATCTGCACTCATCTATACATAACCTAATGGTATGTTATCTGAACTACAAGCCAAAAACCCATGACATCTACTCTCAAAGCTTTGATGGGCTGTTCTTTACATTTTGGGGCACTTCACAAATGCTATTAAATAAGGTCTTTATCTCAGGGGAAGCAACTAACACTTACACGGTTTATAGATAAATAAATGAGAGGTCAGACTAATATTGCTGAGGGCAAAACTGGGAATAGGATCCAAGCCTCACCCACTTTACTTGACTCCTTGCAGAAGAAGCAACGTTCTCCTGAGAGGAGGGTTCTGGTTTGTCAGCAGGCAGCATATGGTGTAAGTTTGTGCTGTTGCTGCCTTGGAGATGAACTGAGAGCTTTGTTTACCAGCACTACAAGGATATTAAAGCCACATCTTTATGCCAATTTGGTTACATTCAAGAAAGCTTCAATTATGCCCATCATCTTATTTAATAATTTCCATAGAGTATCAAGCATAGAATTTAGCAGCTACATTCAAGCCCCTCTTTGATGGCAAACAGTTCAGGCCGGGGAATTAGTTACTCTTTAATTTTAAATGCAATGTACATGACTGTTAATGCTGCCCAAAAACACAGAAAGTAAGGGTGGTGACTGTACTATCCTCACACTGATCTGACAACTAACCTGAAAGGTACTACAGTTAAGGTATTAAGCTAGTTCACTCTGGGAGCCACTCTTAATCTTTACTGACATTACTAAAAAGGTAGAAATTTATGGTAGCACTGGACTTGTGATGTAACTGAAGTTCAGTCAGAAATTGCAGCCTACCAACTTTGCTTCATTTAAGGAAATAATTTTTAGATGAATACTTTCCATCATTGATGGGCTTCAATCCTTAAGGATAACACCGTTAAGGTTGCAGCAGGTTTACTCAACTAATTCCACATGCGAGAGTCTGAAAATGTCAAGTACCTACTCACCACTAAAACTGGAAGATATCTGTGTCAAGAATGACCAATACTATTGCCCTGCACAGAAACTGAATATTCATTTCAGATATGGTCCAGTCCTTGTAGCTGCAAAACTAGGCTCCCAGGTTTGGATGGAATACAGACACATGCAGTGTTACTTTCCCTAACCAGTAGTTACCACTGCTCCAGCAATTCAAATGTGCTGCTCTTGCTTCGCTGCTACTTAGAGCAATGGTGTCCAGTCTTTTCATCCCAGGGACCAGATCCAACTGCACAGGGCAGGCCAAGTCCAGGCCCAATTTGGCCACATGGGGCTTAGAAATTTGGCAATGGGGCAGATGCATCAGTGTTAACAGCCACTGCTCCCCCACTACCAAGTTTCCTGACCTGTGGGGAGACTTGTGGGCTAGATGACATGGCTCTGTGGGCTGGATTTGGCCTACAGGCCAGGGGGTTGAATTGTCAGCTGCAGCAGTGAAATGCAGACTAGTGTGAACTGCAGTCTGATGCTTGTAGAGAAAGCTAAGAGCAGAAGCAGTAAAGACAAGCACTAAAAATACACAGAAAACAGCCTTGAATTAAATGCTCAGAGTTCATTCAGTTTAAATTAAAAAGAAGGATAAACAAAAAATAGATCTGCAATTAAGGACAACGACAAAGGAACAAATCACAGCAAGTTAAAACAGGGTGGGGACTTAAGCCTGGTCAGTACTTAAGCCAGGAGCGTCAAACTCACCTCGTGCTGAGCTAAATCCAGATCTGGATCTGGCATGGGGTGGCAGCAAGGGGTCACAGGTCAGGCGGGTGCTCACCATGGTGGAAGTGGTGGTAAGCAAAGTGGCCACATAGCAATTAAGGGCTGCCCTTACTCACCCCCAACCCTGATGATGGTCGTGTCCACCAGGGCACCCCAGATTCAATGGCAGGCCAGGTCCATCACTAGCCATGTCCTCCAAATTCCCTGGTCCACCAGTAGCCCAGTAGTGGCACAACAACAAGATACAAACTGGTCATGAATACATTAAGGTTGGACCTTTACAGATCTCTGAACTCAGAGGAATGAAGTCCTAAAACAACCTTCCAGAAGAAATAACAGAGGGAAGAAACCAAACTGCTCTCAAGAGGGAGATAGGTACAATTATGAAAAGGATCATACAGGCATACAGCTGGAGGGGGCTTCCTAGGCCAGCATATCCAGGTTTTTGCATGCACAGGCAACCATAAATCCAAGAGTTCCCCCAAGACACCACTCTAAACGCTCTCACACAACTACAGGGCAATACCAGGAACACCAAGAACCCTTCAGCATGCCATAGGTAAAAGGAGGGAGTGTAAAGGCCACTGCAAAGACAGGGAAGCAATTGGTTAATATACTTGCAGAAGATACGAGTACGATGACCATCCTCCATACTACAGAGAAAGCCAAAAACACCTCAATGGTCTTTTCCAACCTGACCGAGGGAGGAAATTCCTTCCTGCACCACATTTGGCCACTGACAAATGACCTGGCTGCCTCCATTAGCTGGGGATGGGACGCAACGACACAAGTCCCACATTCTTAGAAGGTGCATTCAGAGCTGAAACCAAGGAAGAAAATAAAATAATTCCTCTGCATTGTGATATGAACAGTGGGTAGAGTAGCAAATGCCCCACATTTTTAGCCATTCGAGATCAGTCGAGTGCACAAGACCCTCCTCTTGCAGCAGCAGCCAAGAAAACCTGGCATAGGAACAGGAACAGAGAATACTTCCCATCAGCTGAAGAGGACTGAGGGGGAGCTGGGGCTCCATATTTGTCAGATGTACTAGGTGTCCAGGTGGCTGTCCTTGGACAGAAAAGAGACACTGATAGACCTGCCAGTACTTTCCCTGTCCTTCAAATCATACCAGGTGCACGCTCACAGGGTGGCTTCAGAGCAAACATGCAAACTTTGGCTTTACGAATAACTGGGAATACCAGCTTAGTTTCACAAGTTCAAGCTGTCATATAACTGCATCTTCTCATCTTAGGAGGCACCTGCAGTTCTGATTTGTGCAAGAAACATTTTGGCCCCATTTGTCCAATATAACCTAAAACTCAAAAGGGTTAGAGTCAGGTAACAGCTCCACGGCCACTTTGTCACCAGGGACAGCATCTGAAAAGAACTAAATGTTAAGGGTGGGGGCAGCAGAAAGACTGCTCCTAAAATAAACCTGAATGTTATCCTTGGTCTTTACAGGTGGGATCCTATGATTCCTCCATAGTATCTCAGTTAATTCAGAATAGTCACTGGGAAAATAATGTTAAATCTAATCTCATGTCCCCCTCCATCCTTGCAGCTCAAAAACACAAAGACTCACGTTGCACATAATCAACTGTGTCATGGCCCCTCCAGCTGATTAAGTGGGAACATTTCTACTCGCAGGGCAGCTGAGAGCCATCCCTACCGGACCTAGGGTATAGAAAAGCTGGTGCCATCTCAGCTCCTTCAGCCTGCTTAAAACCCATCCTCTAACCCCCAGAAAAATGTCCCTGCAAAGGGGAGGATATGAAACACGGTGCAGAAGTTACCACGCTAGAGGAACATAAGAATTGCCACCGACTGGGTCAGACCGTAGGTCCGCACTGCCCAGTCTCTGGTCGCACAGGGGCAGACAGGAAGGGCCAGGATCTGCGCACCACGCTGCGCCTCTTGCACCTGCAGCCCCCAGCACTTCACGGCCAGAACTGCAGCACCCACATTTTTCACCCCATGGGCCCGATGGGTGGTGCCAGGTCCCTGCAGGGACGGGGTCCAGCCGATGGGCCTGATCCGGCTGCGGGCAAAGCATCATGGAAGGGGTAGGGCTTCCCAATGGGGGGGTGGGAGGAGGGGCAGAGCATTCCGCCCTTGGGGCCTCCCGCTTCCCGCCTCGCCGCAGGCCGGGCGAACTCGTAGGCCACGGGGCCCGGGGAGGATGCGGCGAGTGGCGGTGGAGGCCGAGCCGCGCCCGCACACACGCACCTTGCGCGGTTCCACCCGCACGCCGCAGCTCAGCGCCTTCCGCGGCATCGGGCCCGGCCCGGCCTCAGGCCTCGGCACGTTGCCGCGGCAACCGGGACGCTTCCTGGCGCGGGGGCGGGGCTACGGGAGGTCACGCATGCACAGTGCCCAGACCCCACCCTGGAGACGGTGGGGCGCATGCGCAGTACCAAGCCCCACCCTGGAGACCGTGGGGGGCGCATGCGCAGTGCCCTGTTCTCCCACCCTGGAGACGGTGGGGCGCATGCGCAGCAGGGGAGGGCTGGGTTGGAGCACACCAAACCGCAGTCCCCAGCACAGCCTCAAAGGGCGGGTTGTGTCCAGTGCAATGCTGAGCCGAGCCGTGCTAGGCCGGGGATGCTCCACCACAGGCCTGTGGGCTAAATCAAGACCAGGAAGCCATGCCACCTGCCCCATGGATCAAGACATTTGGCAGCAGATGGTTCACAAGGACGCCTCTGCCCCATCGCTAAATTTCCACGCCCCACATGGCCAAATCGGGGCAGTGAGCATACCCGGCAGGTCCCAGGGCCTTCGACGTCTTCCTGACCCTGTCTGCGCCCACCTGCCTCTCGCCGGCGATCACGGCCGTCCCTCAAGCAGATCTCACTTGGGTTCCTGCCCGGCTCTTCCACCAATGGCCGTCACCCGCATTGACTTCCACGGGCGTCTTGTTCAACAAATTCCTCAGGAAGGGTCGAGGCGATACCATCTTGCTGCAAGCTAGCGTCAGGGTGCGGCCTCATCATGTTTCAGCAATTGTTTCAGGCAGACGAGGTTCTTTGGGTCAATCTGAAGTCTTTTATTAGCCTACATCCTTAGACCAACACGGCTGCAAACAATACCCTTAGTCACATTGCAGCAATTATTTAAGGCAGACAAGCTTCTTCGGGTCAATCTGGTATCTTTTATTAGCCTGTATACTTCGACCAGCACAGCTACAAACTGAACCCCTGGAGCAGCTGTTTAAAGCATTTCTTTTTGTTACTTTCTGCTGAAGCAACCAGGGATTTTCCCTGTTGACATCATCCTGCTAGAGCAAGTGGTAACTTCCAAGCATCAGACAGTGGCGTCCATCTCCAAACTCACTCGCTATGAATCTATGAATTCCATATTCATGGGCGACTGGTGCCTCACAAGTCTGGGGGCACACCAGATCACTGATTGGGTGGGGTCCCTCAACTGCTAATTGCCAGCCAGGGGGGTCCCCCCATGGCCAATCACTGATGGGGGGAGGGAGTCCCCCAGTGGCAAAACCAGAAGTGCATTTTCATTGGCACTTCCAATTTTGCGGCTGGCGCTTCCAGGAGGTGCACGGCCAATCTCAGGGGGTGTATGTGCATCCCCTATGCGTCGCTGATGTCCATAGTACTACAGCAAAATAGGGATCTCAGTTAAATTTCAGGTGGATAGCATCTAGGGTGGCCATCACAGAAGACATTCTGGTTTTCTGCTACTCCATCCTCTATTGAGAAACTCGACACCTTTATGTCTTCTGTTTTTCTCTTCAAGAGGGAGAGGGGCTGCTTGAAGAGAAAAATAGAGGACATAAAGGTGTCGAGTTTCATATGAATAGAGGACGGAGGACAACTGGACTGTCCTGTATGATGGCCACTCTAAGAGCACCTAAGGCACCACTGAGCAGTTTTGACTCAATCGGACAGACTGCATTGGGTGCCTATACGAACCACTTAGTTATTTTAACTTAACAGTTCTGAACACTGAATGTCTCTATTATTTTTTAACTCTGGCAGATAGCAAGTGGGTGCAATGGATCAGTGATTCTCAAGTGTTGTGGGTCTGCAATCCAAAATTAATCATTTTTTAAGGAACCAGAATGTTGAACATTACTTACCAATATATTTTTAAAAAACATAAAGATATTCAGCCAGTTCTTGCTATCTTTCATGCTTTATGATTAAGAAATTACTGAAAACATAATTAAAAAAAAGGTCAGTATCGTTTTTAGTGAAGTGACCTAAATGCTCCCTTCACTGGTTTTCTCCACTACAGACCCTGTATTATTGTGCCTAGGTATAGACACAGCCAAGAGAGGGGTTTTGTTTTCAGCTGGTATAGTTGCATCATCTTCCTGCACAATATAAGCTAAGTTAACAGAATCCTTATTTCATCTGTATTGCACCAGGGTTTTTTTTTTTCCAGTATAGCTGTATTGCCTATGGGGTATAACGTTTGCACCACCGGATGTTATACCTATCTTGGCAAAACTTTATAGGATAGTTCTGGCCTTAGCTAACAAACCAGGGAGTGAATGAGGCACCTGCATCCCTGGAAAGCAAAATCCCTAATATCTGAGCTAAAGAGCTAGGTGCTGTAACAGATATTAATCCCCTAAATCATAGACAGACCAAGTGCTTACATTTAGATAACCATACATTAGTATGGTTGGTCATATGCTTGCAATATCTAGGGTTCAGATTCAGAAAGAAAGAATCTTCTCAAGATACACAGATTCACATGGCACCAGTACCTGTAATAATTGGTCGCCTATATGCAGGTACCCTTCAAAAACACACCTGTTGTCTTAGGTGGACTAAATACATGAAGGCAAGTAAGAGACTCAGATCTCATGGAAGTTACAGTTGTATAAACACCCAAGAGTAAGAAATGCCGTGCAATGGCGTCACAGAAATGGCATTATATTTGTCATGAAAATGTGATTTTCATGTGCGGTGCTCTGGAACAGAAGAACTTAACCCTTAAAAAGGAGTTAAGCTGCAGGGTAGATCGGTAACCAAATATTGTAGCTATGGGCTTAATTTATGTAACCCAGGGAGGGTCTGTGGACTAAGGAAGGGTTATGCACTAACCCATAATCACTCAATAGAAGATCAGCCAGTCCCAGACCCACTGGAAAGTCCACCCTCGAGCAAATCTGAACTTCACAGGACCCTGTGAGGCAATACTTCTGCAGAAGCAATTTTCTTTTTCATTCAACTAGGCTGGAGAGGTGAGAGCCCTTTGGATCTTGTAGTCATGATCTAGATCATAATTTAGTCCTGTAACCTTATGCAAACTCAAGCAACTATGATAGATGGATTTTAAGCAAGAGAGGAGGAATTCCCAATTTCAGCACTAATACATGAGCAAGTTGCAAAACTGGTGACCAAAACTTTGAGAAATACAATGTATTTTAATGCATTCAGATTATAACATGATATAAAGTTTCCATGCTATGAAAGTGCCCCTTCAGTTCTGAATTCCTTTGCTTCTGCAGACGTAAATCTTTTCTTGGCATTACTTACATGCTGTTTTATGTAGCTGAATAAAAATGTATGGGTGGTTGCTTTGCATAATATTAATTTTTTGCAATTGGCTCCATCTAAAAGACCAAAAAGGTCAATATACCTCCTGGTACCATTTTCCATATACATAAAATGTAAAGAGAAA